GTGTGTGTGTGTGTTTGTGTGTTTGTGTGTGTGTGTGTGTGTGTTTGTGTGTGTGTGTGTGTTTGTTATTTTATTGTGTGTGTGTGTGAGTGTGTGTTTGTTTTGTTATTGTTTGGTGTTTTTGAATGACTGGTATTTAAATGGTTGTGTTGTGTTGTGTTGTGTTGTGTTGTGTCACACACACTGCTCTTCACTGGACTCTGGTCTCGTGGTGTGTGTAGTCAGGACACAGGGCCATGAGATTCATATATTATTTCACTTTTATCAGTGAAATGTTTGTTTCTGTTCATTTATCATAACAGATTTTCAATCAGGTTTACGTCAGGACACTGGGCTGTCCATTTCATCGTTTCAGCCTCTTCAGCTTGTGCTGTTCTACTGTATTAATCTGCACTGTATGATTACCAGCAGACCACAATGTGTGTGTGTGGGTGTGTGTGTGTGTGTGTGTGTGTGGGTGTGTGTGTGTGTGTGTGTGTGTGTGTGTGGGTGTGTGTGTGTGTGTGTGTGTGTGTTGACCTGTGCTGATGCTGGTGTTTGTTGGCTCATGTGTTCAGTTTAATGAGGCCAGTGCTGTGCTGAAATCAGGCTCTGGTGGTGTTTTCATTGAGCGTCATTGACTGACCGCTCTGTGTGTGTGTGTGTGTGTGTGTGTGTTTGTGTGTGTGTGTGTTTCCCCGAGCAGAGCCTCTGTCTGGCCCGAGCCTCCGTCGTGGTCTAACAATGAACCAGCAAGAAATGGGTGCCCATCAAACCGGGCCAGCAGGGCTTCAGTCGGATCAACATCTACCACAACACAACCAGTAACACATTCCGCGTGGTGGGAGTCAAACTGCAGGACCAGCAGGTACACACACACATATTCACACACACTTAATCCCACACATCACATGATCACAAACACACACACACTTGATCACACATACACACACACTCAAGCTGACGGTGTTCAGTAATAGCGCTGGTGTTTCATGTAGTCGTCAACTACTCCATCAGTGTGTGTGTGTGTGTGTGTGTTACATTATTAATGTGTGTGTGTGTGTTGTTCAGGTGGTCATCAACTACTCCATCGTGAAGGGCCTGAAGTATAACCAGGCGACTCCGACGTTCCACCAGTGGCGTGACGCTCGGCAGGTCTACGGCCTGAACTTCGCCAGTAAAGAGGAAGCCACGACTTTCTCCAACGCCATGCTGTTCGCCCTCAACGTGCTCAGCAGCCAAGACGGAGGTGAGGACACACCTGCATCACCGCAGACACGCTGGAACACAACACACTTCTGTCTGAGCAGCGCAGACCGGGATAAACGAGTCACTGATTCAGTTCAGTTCAGTGTGAAAACAGCTTCATGGAGATGAACCGATTCACTGATTCAGTTCAATTCATTGTAAAAGCAGATTCACGAAGAGGAACTGATTCACTGATTCAGTTCAGTGTGAAAGCAGCTTCAAGGAGATTAACTGATTCACTGATTCAGTTCATGATTCATTGAATCAGTTCAGTTCAGTGTTCTTGTTCTAATACAGACATTATTCTGTTTAGTTGTACATTAAAGGAGCAGTTCAGCCTAAAATGCTCTCCTTTTACTTGTGGCTATCCTCTTGATTGTGTTAAACGCAAAAGAAGATATTTAGAATAATGTTGGAAACCTGCAGATTGTGTCAAATCAGCTTCATGGGCATAAATGATTCATTGATTCAGTTCAATTCAGTTCAGTATGACAGCAACTTTACTGAAATGAACTGATTCACTCATTAAGTTCACTGATTCTGTTAATTGATTAACTGATTCAGTTCAGTGTGAAAGCAGTTTCACAGAGATGAACTGATTTACTGATTCAGTTCACTGATTCAGTTCATTGATTCACTGAGGAGGTCATCAAAAACTCCATTGTGAAGCAACTGAAGTATAACCAGGCGACTCTTCATGGAAATAAATGACTCACTGATTCAGTTCATTGATTCACTGATTTAGTTCAGTGTGAAAGCAGCTTCACTGATATAAATGATTCACTGAATCAGTTCAGTTTAGTGTAAAAGCAGCTTCACAGAAATAAATGATTCACTAATTCAGTTCAGTTAAGTGTGAAAGCAGCTTCATGGATATAAATGATTCACTGATTCAATTCAGTGTGAAAGCAGCTTCATGGATATAAATGATTCACTGAATCAGTTCAGTTTAGTGTGAAAGCAGCTTCATGGATATAAATGAGTCACTGAATCAGTTCAGTGTGAAAGCAGCTTCATGGAGATGAACTATTTCACTGATTCAGTTCATTGATTCACTGATTTAGTTTAGTTTGAAAGCAGCTTCACTGATATAAATGATTTACTGAATCAGTTCAGTTCAGTGTGAAAGCAGCTACATAGAGATGAAATGTTTCACTAATTCAGTTCATTGATTCACTGAGGTGGTCATCAACAACTTCATTGTAAAGCGACTTAAGTATAACCAGGTGACTGACATTCCACCTATAGCTTCATGGAAACAAATGACTCACTGATTCTGTTCATTGACTCACTGATTTAGTTCAGTGTGAAAGCAGCTTCACGGATATTTATGATTCACTGAATCAGTTCAGTGTGAAAACAGCTTTACGGAGATGAAGTGATTCAGTAATTCAGCTTACTGATTCAGTTCAGTGTGAAAACAGCTTTACGGAGATGAAGTGATTCAGTAATTAATTTACTAATTCAGTTCAGTGTGAAAGCAGCTTCACAAAGATAAATGATTCACTGATTCAGTTCAGTTCAGTGTAAAAACAGCTTTACGGAGATGAAGTGATTCAGTAATTAATTTACTAATTCAGTTCAGTGTGAAAGCAGCTTCACAAAGATAAATGATTCACTGATTCAGTTCAGTTCAGTGTAAAAACAGCTTTACGGAGATGAAGTGATTCAGTAATTCAACTTACTGATTCAGTTCAGTTCAGTGTGAAAGCAGCTTCACAGAGATAAATGATTCACTGATTCAGTTCAGTGTGAAAACAGCTTTACGGAGATGAAGTGATTCAGTAATTCAGCTTACTGATTCAGTTCAGTGTGAAAGCAGCTTCACAGAGATAAATGATTCACTGATTCAGTTCAGTTCAGTGTAAAAACAGCTTTACGAAGATGAAGTGTTTTAGTAATTCAGCTTACTGATTCAGTTCAGTTCAGTGTGAAAGCAGCTTCACAGAGATAAATGATTCACTGATTCAGTTCAGTTCAGTGTAAAAACAGCTTTACGGAGATGAAGTGATTCAGTAATTCAGCTTACTGATTCAGTTCAGTGTGAAAGCAGCTTCACAGAGATAAATGATTCACTGATTCAGTTCAGTGTGAAAACAGATTCACAGAGATAAATGATTCACTGATTCAGTTCAGTTCAGTGTAAAAACAGCTTTACGGAGATGAAGTGATTCAGTAATTCAGCTTACTGATTCAGTTCAGTGTGAAAGCAGCTTCACAGAGATAAATGATTCACTGATTCAGTTCAGTGTGAAAACAGATTCACAGAGATAAATGATTTACTGATTCAGTTCAGTTCAGTGTAAAAACAGCTTTACGGAGATGAAGTGATTCAGTAATTCAGCTTACTGATTCAGTTCAGTTCAGTGTGAAAGCAGCTTCACAGAGATAAAGGATTCACTGATTCAGTTCAGTGTGAAAACAGCTTTACGGAGATGAAGTGATTCAGTAATTCAGCTTACTGATTCAGTTCAGTTCAGTGTGAAAGCAGCTTCACAGAGATAAAGGATTCACTGATTCAGTTCAGTGTGAAAACAGCTTTACGGAGATGAAGTGATTCAGTAATTTAGCTCACTGATTCAGTTCAGTTCAGTGTGAATTTTCACAGTAACATGCAATTCACCCTAAAATGTCTGTTTGCTCCCTCTTTTCTTGTGGCTAACCTCTTTATTGTGTTAAACGCAAAAGAAGATATTTAGAGCAATGTTGGAAACCTGCAGATGTGGTCAAAGCAAGGAGATAAATGATTCACTGATTCAGTTCAGTTGAGGGTGAATCTCAGTGCAGGAACTAAAGTAACTCTGCGGCTCTTGTTCTAATGTGATGCTGTATATTCTGTTTATTTGATCTTAAAGGGGCAGTTCACCCTAAAATTACAGATCAGAATTTGGTGTCGACAACATCATAAACAGCATCACCACACACACAGACACACACACACACACACACATATACACACATACACAGAGTAACCGGAGCCGCTGCTGTGCGCCCGCCCGCCCGCCGGCCGGCTGTTGTCATGCAGGTGTGTGTTTCGCGGGTCAGAAACTGGACACTGCTGCAGTATAGCGGTGAGGATGAGGATGGTGATGGTGATGGTGAGCGGCGGCTGGATCTGCCAGTGTTTCTGCGTCTGCAGCAGCAGGTTCCTCTTCTTCAGCATGTCCTGTATGTACAGATACAGACACACACACACACACACACACTCGTCTGCTCTTCCTCCTCCTCCTCATCTGCTTCTCTGTGCGCTCTCTCTATTATCACTGTCGCTGCTGTGCTCGATCCTCTGCTTCTGTACGCTGGTCTGCTGCTTCCTCAACGTCTGTGGGCTTGGTTGCTAAGGAGTGTCTGTATGGTTGCTAAGGAATGTTTGAGTGGTAACTAGGGAGTGTCTTTGTTTCTGTGGTAACTAGGGAGCATATGTGTTGTTGCTGAGACTTGTATGTGTGGTCCCTCATAAATGTCTGTGGGGTCAGTTGCTAGGGAATGTCTGTGTGGTTACTTAGTAATATCCGAATGGTCTGTGTTGTTGCTAGGACATGTGTGGGGTAACTAGGGAGTGATAGTTGCTAAAGAGCGTCTTAGTGGTCCCTTGTGAATATGTGTTGGTTTGGTTGCTAGGAAATGTGTGTGTTGTTGCTAAGTAATATCTGAATGGTAACTAGGGATTGTTTATGTTGTTCCTAGGACATGTTTGTGTGGTAACTAGGATTGCTCGGGGGGTGTGGGGTTGCTAAAGAGTGTTTGCGTGGTCTCTTGTGAATATGTGTGGGTTTGGTTGCTAGGGAATGGCTGTGTGGTTGCTAAGGATTGTCTAAGTGTTAATTAGGGAGCATATGTGTTGTTGCTAGGACATGTTTGTGTGGTAACTAGGGATTGTATGTGTTGTTACTAGGACATGTTTGTGTGGTAACTAGGGAGTGTATGTGTTGTTGCTAGGACATGTTTGTGTGGTAACTAGGGAGTGTATGTGTTGTTGCTAGGACATGTTTGTGTGGTAACTAGGGATTGTATGTGTTGTTGCTAGGACATGTTTGTGTGGTAACTAGGGAGTGTATGTGTTGTTGCTAGGACATTTTTGTGTGGTAACTAGGGATTGTATGTGTTGTTGCTAGGACATGTTTGTGTGGTAACTAGGATTGCTCGGGGGGTGTGGGGTTGCTAAAGAGTGTTTGCGTGGTCTCTTGTGAATATGTGTGGGTTTGGTTGCTAGGGAATGGCTGTGTGGTTGCTAAGGATTGTCTAAGTGTTAATTAGGGAGCATATGTGTTGTTGCTAGGACATGTTTGTGTGGTAACTAGGGATTGTATGTGTTGTTGCTAGGACATGTTTGTGTGGTAACTAGGGGTTGTATGTGTTGTTGCTAGGACATGTTTGTGTGGTAACTAGGGATTGTATGTGTTGTTGCTAGGACATGTTTGTGTGGTAACTAGGGATTGTATGTGTTGTTGCTAGGACATGTTTGTGTGGTAACTAGGGATTGTATGTGTTGTTGCTAGGACATGTTTGTGTGGTAACTAGGGATTGTATGTGTTGTTGCTAGGACATGTTTGTGTGGTAACTAGGGATTGTATGTGTTGTTGCTAGGACATGTTTGTGTGGTAACTAGGGATTGTATGTGTTGTTGCTAGGACATGTTTGTGTGGTAACTAGGGGTTGTATGTGTTGTTGCTAGGACATGTTTGTGTGGTAACTAGGGATTGTATGTGTTGTTGCTAGGACATGTTTGTGTGGTAACTAGGGATTGTATGTGTTGTTGCTAGGACATGTTTGTGTGGTAACTAGGGATTGTATGTGTTGTTGCTAGGACATGTTTGTGTGGTAACTAGGGATTGTATGTGTTGTTGCTAGGACATGTTTGTGTGGTAACTAGGGAGTGTATGTGTTGTTGCTAGGACATGTTTGTGTGGTAACTAGGGAGTGTATGTGTTGTTGCTAGGACA